ATGTTATGTGGTGTTTAACTGACGTGATAAACGTTTTATTGTTTGCAATAACTTCTTGTTCACACAATTTTCTATTAATAATTTTTTATCGATTTTTAAATTTGAGACTTCGTTCTTAAATTATTATTCTTTAAAAACTTTTAAAATTTTGGAATTTTCAGTTTTTAGTCTTTGCTTCAAAAAATGATCCGTCAAAACACTACCGAGGTTGGCGTATGAATGAGCCAAACAAAAAATTTGTTTATGGTGCTGAGAGGGCAATTTTTATTTAGCTGATTGTTCTAAAATAAAACCTCACAAAAAATATTTTGAAGTTTTTCCTAACTTCATGGAGAAAAAATTTTCATTTAAAAAATGCGCTCGAACACTCTTATAATGACCAGGGCATCGAACCAGAACTGAACCGTAATCAAAAATGTATATGTTGCATAGGTTGCGACTCATCTTAGATACAATTGTCACTAACTTATCATTAAGCTACTCTACTTTTCAAACAAGAATTCTATTTTGTTGTGTAGTTTGTTGATAAATGTTGATATTGCTAGATGGCATTTTTTATTATTTAATTATACATTAAAGATTTTTGGTAAAATTACAAAAACATTTTTGACATAACTGCCTTCGTCAGTTTAGTTATGTAGTACCTAAGCAGAGAAAATGTGAGGAATTTTGAAATAAAATAAATAATATAATTATTGTTATTTTTAAATTTTTCTCAAAATTGTTATTTTGATTTGACGTGTTTTTTCTCTTCTAATGGTTCAACAGATGTGATGAATGGTTTAACAGATTTGAGATTTCTTCTCAGTTTCACATACGACGTTAAAAAATAAAAGAACAAAAGATAACATAAAAGAGATAGATAACCGCTGATGATCAAAGAAGCCTACATTTATTGAATTATAAACTGTAATTATGTCGTGTTAGTTGAAGATTTATGAAATAAAATATTGGTCAGTCAGTCAGTCAGTTGGTTTGTTGGTAAGTCGCTAGGTCAATGTAGCACTCCAATATCTCTCCATGAATTCACCAGTACAGACATCTACACACAGGAGGTACTAGGTAGTATTAAGTACCTAACTTCATTCTCATGTCCTCGCCTGGATGATTTAATATTTTATATTAAATATACTCCTCCCTTTATGAAGTTTACGGGAAACTTTTTCAAAACGGAAAAATAAAATTTCATAAATAAAAACGATGAGAAAGCCGTATAACAACTAAATCTAACGGAGGAAGTTTTTATTTTCATCTCAATCTATCTTAGCGGATCATTATTATTATTTTCTTTTCACACATTCATTTAATCAATTAAGTGCGTGTGTGTGTGTGTGTTTGTGTGTGTGTGATGTATGTGTGTGTGGTGTGTGTGTGTGTTATTTATTATCTGTGAAGAAAGTTTTTATTTTTCTCTCAATCTATCTTAGCAGATTATTATTATTATTATTATTATTATCTTAGCAGATATTATTATTATTATTATTATTATTATTATTATTACTTTTTTTATTAACATAATTTCACGGTGTTATATAAAACAACGCATTTTGCTTTTGTTGCTCGCTTGACAGACTTAAGTGACTGCACTCGAAGCAAGGCACTGCGGCATAGGGACACGACCTTGAACTCTAACCCTGAACTCTAACCTTGCCAGTAAAAATGATTTATCACATACATGTCATATCATATCATTCGCTGAATGTCAGTGATAGTTATATCAGAGGATGTCCTACAGCTGTATGATATTATCATTGCAAATCATTCATTCATTTAATTATTTGTGTGTGGTGTGTGTGAGTGTGTGTGTAATGCGTCCGTGCGTGTGAGTGTGTGTATGTGTGGTGTTGTATGTGTGTGTTATTTATTATCTTTGAAGGAATTAATTAGTTTTTTATTAAAAGCAATTAAATATAAAAAATGGCTTGAGATGTCAGCTCCAGGTTTGAATCTGCTTTGCCTGTCTTTGCGTGCGTATTTATATCTTTGTGGGCATGAATATATCAACGTGATTGTGTATATCTGTATATATGTTTCTTTGTGTATGTGTATATATGTGTATGTGTTTTTCTGTGTATGTGTATATCTTTGTATGTGTATGTCTATGAAACCACATTAACATCACAAGAACGTAAGCTGCGATGCCTCATCATTTCTGGGAGTTAGAGGCAAAACAAAATAAAGTTCAGAACCGACAAAACCTGACAACCGAGAAAAAAACCTGTGTATGTGTATATCTGTGCATGTATTTATCTGCGTATGTGTTTCTCTGTGTATGTGTTTCTTTGTGCGTGTGTGTTTTTGGTTTGGATAATTAAACTTCTAATTAATTCACTTGTCAAAATATATGTCTGATGCATATATCATTTGTCTGAGGTTTTCTTACATCATTTACGTTGTTTATTTAGGTGAATAAATTTGTTTATTTATATTTTTTTGTTTTATTATTAAATAATAATTAGTAACTATTGTCATCATTTAGGCTGCTTTAGAGCGGCATAAGTTAATGTGGGGTTTTGTGTTGATAAGCCATTAAACTAGCTGAAAAGGAAGAGGATGGCAAAATATCTACGATCTGACTTATGTATTTTTGTAGTATTGCTTTTGAGAAAAGTTTATTTTTTTAAATTAGCGCTTTATAAATATACCAAAAATAATTTAACCTAAATATTCTTGGACGTATTACGTGTCGAAAACCATTTTTTCACTCATCATGCTTACTGGCGCAGTTCAATTGCTCGGTATTGAAGCACAACTGATGTATCTATGAAATGATTGATCTCGTTCGCTCTTAAATATTTTTAACATTTTTACGGCAGTCTTAGTTTAGTTTTTAAATCATTTGCTTCGAATTGTGGGAAAAATGAAAAAAAAAAGATTTCACACAATACAATGTAGATGTTGTTTATAGTACACAATAACAGCACGTAGATACTTGTGCGTGTGTGTTTGAGAGAGAAAGAGAGAGAGAGAGAGAGAGAGAGAGAGGAGGGAAAGGAAATTATAAAAAGAAAGAGAGAGAGAGAGAAAAGTAAACAACAGCGAAATATTGGAACAGTGATTTTTCAAAATTTGTTTTTTTTTAAATTAAAAGTTTTAAATATAGTAAAAACAGAAACATAGATTGTTAAGTTGGTGCGTGTGCGTCTCCGTTTAATTGATCAAAATGATAAAAAAACTGATTACTCAACAACGTTCTTTACATCCATTTTTCAGTGGTGATAAATTTGTTTAAAAATTCCAATTGAGTCTGATGTCGTATCCAATTTTCTATTTTATAACTTTAGAAAAAGGCATTTAAAAATTTACTTTCAGTTACGTATTTCTAAATAACGTTGTACTTGTAGACAGTGACGAATCTAGGAAGGGGAAGGCAGGGAGCACTGCCCCCCGTCGTCAGCGTTGTTTGTGGTAAAGTTAGTGAAAGTCGTTGTTTTAACCGAAAACGTAGTGTTTTTGAAGAGAAAATTGACATTATAAGCCCATTAGCAAAAAAGTTGCCCAACCCCCGTCAAAATGTTGGCCTCCCTCGTGAGCACAGAAAATTTTTCGAAACAAATTTGTGAAAATTTTTGTTAAAAATTCTTCAAATATTTTTTCAAAATTTTGAACCATCCCGTCAAAGTGCTCTGGATCCGCCACTGGTTGTACAAGCAATAACTCATATGTTTGCGTTGTTAGGCTACAAATTTTTTTTACCGTCCCATTGCTATCTTTGACTCAACTAAACAACAGCTAGAAACCCAGACGAAAATACAAATTTCAAGAGGGGACAAATTAACATCAGCAAATCATTGTCGGTGGGATGTGTGGACGTGTGTGTGTGTGTGTTAGTGTGTGTGGTGTGTGTACTCTTTTGCAATTAAAAACGTTATTTGAATTATGAGTTGCATTTACATCACGAACACACAAATGCGCATATTACATTTTATAGAAAGGGTATTGGATATCAACTGCGGATGGTTTCATTATGACGCAAAACCAGAACAACATTAAGTTCGAGTGCTATATTTCAATTGCTATCAATTAGACACAATAGTTCTAGTTATAAAGTAAACCATTGCCGTGCCGGATGGTAAACCATTGCCGTACCGGGTATTAAACTGCCCCACTGGCCACCGAGGTTTACCCCGTACAACGGGACTTAGAAATTCAGAGTCAATCGACTGTCGTACCCTTAACTTACCTATTCATTAAAATTGTCCTAACTTAAATAGAATTACAAAACTCAAACTTAATTAAATTACCTGTTGGTACGCTTACGATGTTTAATTGACATTACGAGTATGTTTCTTAGAATTACATTATTGCCCTAAACTACCTATGAAACTTAATTACTCTCAACTTTAGTAATAATAAATTAAAGTGATTAGTGATGAAAATAAAATGGATTCAGTATAATGTAATGCATGTGTAGTGTTTGTGGGTTGTGATGTGTCCACAAATTGGTACGGTAGTTGAAAGACCCCTTCATTCTCCCACCCTTGCACAGCGGATCGCCGTACCCATCACGAGTACGGAGTAGTTACACTAACGCTATACGAACTTCAAGCCCATAAGCGATCCTTCGCCCTGCCAACTCTTAACCTGTACTTTGGACGTTGGCCACCAACGCTTTTCCCGTACAAAGGACTTTGAAATCCAGGGTCATTCGACTATCGTACCTCGTAATTATAAAACTCAATAGACACGCCTAACGCAAATGCAAGAAAGTATAAAGAAAGAGTCAAAACTTGCCTATTAAACTACACTACGTCAATATTCTATGTTTTCTATCTATTCAATAGGTAAGTTTAATTAAGTTTGAGTTTTGTAATTCTATTTAAACTAGGACTAAAATTATCCCTATCTAACTTACCTAACAAATGTTAATGTAATGTGTGTGTGAGTATTTATGTTGAATAAAGAGAAAAAGTAAAATGTAGAAAAAGCAAATCCGACTCCATGATGAATTCCTCCACAGATGCCGGCGTCCATGGTCTGACTTATTGTGCAGTTGAAGGATGGTTCCGTCACTGATCTACAGCTCTTCAACATTCTACACCGTGCTAGGTCTTCCCGGGAGGTGCTGATTTAGATAATTCGATTTAATTACAATGTTTTAAACATAATAAGTCAAATAAATATTTAGTATTAGTAGTTTGTTGAAACCCATGCAATTTCATAAGTAAGCCAACCATAGCTTCAGTAAGCCACTGTGTTTTCAAAACAGAAAGCAATATTTTTATTTAAATTGACAACAATAATTTTCAATTATATAAATCGAGTTAATTATATTGTTGTAAAAATATTTAGTCAAATAAATGTTTAGTATTAGTTGTTTGTTAAAACCAATGCAATTTGGTAGGTAAGCCAATAAACCAAGCAAGTCAAATAGCCGACCCCTTCGAAAACACAAAATGTCTTACTACAGGGGCTCTCACAGAAAAATGTTTGTTTTACTAGATTTATCTTATTAGATATATATCTTATATTCTAGCAAATTTACCATTGCGATATTCAAACTTTAAAATTAGACCGTATAGTAGACAATCATGACATCCATAGATCTCTAATTTTGTTTCTATTTAATCGTAAAGCTAAATTATTTTTTCTATGTTTTTATAATTCGATTTTTTTTTTGTTCATCGTAGATTTTTCACAAAAACCACATATTTATAAATTTTTGGTGGATTTTAATTTTTTCGGATATTTTGTTAGTGACCGTCTGCATTGTTCGATTTCTCTAATATCCGAATATTTTGCAAAAAATCAGCGCTTGGTTTGAAGTGCACGATAATACATTTTTCACAGGTTATTTGTTTCAGAAAAGTTATTTTTATTTAATTAATTTAATTTATTTGAATTAATGCACAAGTTTTTTTCGTCATGTTTGAATGGTCGTTTTTAAATCTGATTAAATTTGTTCTAAAACAAATTTAGCATTGTTTGTAATAAGACTAACACAAAGTTTTGTATGTTATTATAAAAATATTAAAAATTAATTATTAAATAATCATTTATATTTTTATAATCTAACAAATTTTGTTAGTATTAAAAATATTAATTAATGCTAATCAAGTTATTAATTGATTCAAAATTAATTTTAAATCAACAAACACTATTTTTAACTTTTTAACTAAATTTTATTTCGCAGAAAACTTAGATCTATTTCACTGTTTATCCAGATTTATTAGCATTGTGTGTTGTACATGGCATATCATTCAGACACACAAGCTTCCCCAGTCGACCGAGAGAGATGGTCCAAACTGTTATGTCAGACAATATCATCTTTGTGTCGGAATGGGATGATGGGAAATGATGTTATGAAAATTCAAGGTCTAATTGGTATCACACTGTGCAATAAAGAAGTGTTTCTAGTCGACATTGCTGATCATTTTGAGGTTGAAGATATGGATTTAGTAGATGATTCTCAAAATGGATCAAAAAAATCACCATCTAAATCTATTTCTCGGAAAAGAAAAGCCTCCAATCCCAAATTGATGAAGTCTCCAGAGGATTATTACCTTGATAATGAAAGTCGGGAAAATAATGAATATGGTTATCCTTCCACGGAGTCTCAAGTATGTGAATATTATATCAAAAAAAGCATGAATCAGCTCCCTTAAATTTAATTATTCTTTAGACCCGTTGTATGAATTTATTACATTTTTCTGTATATTATATTATATGAATAACTATTAAAATTATAAATTTTAGGAAAATCACAAGAGACCATATCCAGAAATGTGGGACAATACAAATCCAAATGAGTTGCCCCTGCCCCAAACACAGCCACAAGAAATCACTGACCCAAATAGCCATTCTTATGGAAACCAAACATCTTATGACTATCACACTGAATTCATGCAAATCAAATCAGAAAATCTTGACAGCGTTGATCAGTCAGTCCTTGATGATGCTATCCTTAAAGAAACAACTTTGAGCACCACACCGTCAAGAAAGATGAGGGCAAAAAAAGAGTTTTCCCAAACTGTGGCTACAACAAAACACACTGCTGAACTTCTAGGCTATCAGGATTTTACTCCTGCCTCTTCCAGACCTTACACATGTCGACTGTGCGATGCATCATTTTCAAAGAGATTTTGTCTGGCAAATCATATTGTAACTGTCCACCAGGTTTAGTCATTTTTAGCATATGTGTGCATCTCTGCATGCATATATGTATTTATTTATTACTTGCATTAGTGTGTGCTTATGCATGTTTCAGTTGCTTGTATTATTGTATTACGTGCATCTGCTGCACATATTTATTGCAATTGCATAAGCTAAAACATGAAAAAAATTTCCAGAAAATAAACGTTTTTTCAGTTTATAATTTATCTTTTTGAACTTAGGTTGGAGGTAAGTATGTATGTAAACAGTGTGGAAGACAGTTCTTGCAACGAAACAGATACATGCTGCACATTGAGAAACATTCAACGGATGGCACCAAACTCGTCTGTCCTGACTGTGGAAAAGTATTTACAGTTCGTGGTAACTACGAGAACCATCTGAAAAAGTGTGGTGCTGCTCTAGTTTCGGTTGGTGCTGCTGCTAGCAACAACAACAACAACATGCCAAATGACAACAGTGTGGTTCTTGCAAATTTTATTAGTAGCAATAACAACAACAATAAACTCAGCAACAGCAGCGGCAGTAATATTAATGAAATATCAGCTGACCTCACTCCCAGCTACATGAACAGCACTGGCCACTTCAATGCCAACATGTCCAACACAAATAGTATGATGTATCACCATCAATACCATCATCACTTGCAGCATAATAATAACAATAATAATATGAATAATAATAATAAGAACATCATCACGACCAATATTGAAAATGAAGATGATGACGACGACGACGATGATAACAATAACGCTAGCAACGATAATGATGATCAGAACAATGATAATGGGCCAGGTGGGGGAGCTGATGATGATGTGATCAAGGAAAATGTCTTGCTTTACGACAGTGACCTTGAAGCATGAATGATCTTTCTCTTTTTAATTTGTTTTTTTTCCTCACTTTTGTTTGTCTAATTTATTTTTTATTTAAATGTAAAACGTTAAGATTTTAAAACAATGGATTAATATTAATAAATAATACTGTACAGTTTCTCTCAATATCTATACATGTTAATTTATTTATACAGACAGGCATAGTTTTAAATAAATAATTATTATGTTTACCTATATCAGTACATATGAGTGGTAGTTAGTTTGTTATGTTGTCTGAAACTGTGTGTTTCATATATGTATATTTCATGTCTGTTGCCAAGTAACCAAATCATGTGACAGATCAACAGAATGAATGCATAAACTAATCGTGTGTGCAGAAAATTTATGTATTGTGTTTATATTAGGGATTAGATGTAAGCTGTTTGGTACAATGATGCATGAATGTGACTATGTGCGCGTGTTTATATGTGTAATGTATGTTTATTCATTTATCTATTCCATCGTTTTAATTTTTATTTGTGGATTATATTTTTGCAATGAAAAACAGCTGATTTAGTTTATATTTCTTGGATTTTGTAGCACACAAACATTTCTGTTGGTTGCAAATGCATTAAAAATTTCAATAAAGCAAATGAGGATGGATTTGATTTATTTGTATGTGGGTATTATCTCACTGGGAATCTTTCGTAGTTTATATAAAATAAAGTGCTTTTTTTTATTTAAAGTTTAACAAATTCATTAACCATAACAGATTTACAATCATAAACAGTCAACAGAAATGTTAATAATAAACATAAAATGTAGTGGAATGGAATTTTTTAAAGAGCAATAACAAATTTGTGGTTAATCTCAAAATGTAATTTGCTTCAGTGATAAAAAGCATCTAATAGTGTTGGCAGATGATCATTGATGTGATTAATTACTGCGGTAGCGCTAAACCATACTCGGCGTGTGGATGGATCCACTTATCACAACTTGGCCTTCGTGTTGTGGACATTATGAAAGAGAGCTCCGAGCTTGTAGGCCACCATATGTTGGCCTTCCACGGCTATTCGACCACTTCTGAATATCTGCAAATTAGTTTCAAGATCGTCAACACTGTTTTCGGCATTTTACGGCAGTTTCTCAATGGAAATACATTAACGAAGCTTTGTAATAATAATATTGGCAATCTAAGCAATGCACTAAAACATGATATGATAGATGTGCAAATAAAGAAACAATTCGTAGAAGAGCAGATAACGTCTTACCTCTACTCCATTCAACTTTCCGCTGACCAACAGAACGAAATCTTCATCATCGCCTGTAAGTGTGCAGTCAACATGAACACCTTTCTGCGGTGGACTTGCCGAGAAAACTGGACTGACTCCTTTCAATATTGCAGCTGTTTGTGGTGTAGATTGTTATCGCGTCAATTAGATGATATATACGACGATCGTGAACAAAATCTTCATAAGATCGTCAACAGTACTCATTATCTACCGTCACAGTCATGTTTCACAATCATAACTCTACTCAATGGCACATTAACAACTCACTCCATTGAGCCTCAAGCTTGCCAAACTTTTTGACATTGAAGAGGTATGATGCATTAACTGATCCACTGACGACTGGATTGGCCTTGACGTATGCTTCCATCTTTGTGAACATCTTGTGACTGGCTAGTTTGACGTTGTTTGTCGTAGGCTGAGTTTGTAGGTCGACGTAACCACCAGTGAGACATTGCTTGCCTGTCTCTAAGTCCTGTTGTTGTTCGAATAAGAAATTCGTTACAATTGTTGGAGCTTCCTTCGGTATACAGTAATATTTTGTATTTATAAATATTAGAAGTTAAATAATCAATCACACCTCAATCAATCAAGAAACCACTCGCAATGACTAACCTTGCAAGTGAAGTAAATCCTATCTCCCTCCTTCCACATGTCTGTCTGGATGGTCTGACCCGGAAAGACGGGACTTGAGAAGCGAACCTGATGGTTATGACGGACGATGATGATGACGACGATGTTTATGATGAGGATGATAAAGTGATGATGGCGATGATTATGATAGTAATGTTAAAGTAGTGGTAATGATGGTAAGGGCGAAACTGATGATGATGAATTTAAGTAGCAGCATGGTTAGAAATACAGATGATCAAATTTCAAAACCTTCAGCAGAACAAACACGTACAAGCAAGAGCAGCATTGAGTAACAAACAGACCTTAGCAGATTTAAATAGCTTGACGTCATCGTTGCAGTACTGTTTCATCACGTGACGTACTGCAAATCCGTATGAAGATAAGCCATGTAGGATTGGTGTGTCAAATCCTGAGTTATGTTGATGATGAATGACGTCATCAAAGATGAAGATTATAACAAGGATGATGAAGTAAACGACGATGACGTTGAAAATGATGATGAGGATGATTAACCATTACTAAAAAAACATCAACACCATCGATCAACTAACTCCAGTCGTAATAATAATTTGGTGACGAAGTAGACCTTAGTATAAATGATAAAATATTTTGAATAAATTACGTCAGCATCCCTAACCAGCCAGTGAAGCAAAAACAGGAGAGATGTGCAGAGGATTTCGATCCCCAGACAGGCGATACAATGCCGCCTGGATGGTTGCCGTGAATGTGACGGATGAGTGAGTAGAGAGAGTGAGAGAGGTTGAGTGAATTGAAACATTGGATGAAGATGATGGATGAATTAAAAAGTAAATGATTGATGGATGAATTAAAACTGGATTTACATAGTTAACGAATTAAATTCAAATTTTCAATAATCAAAAGCTACTATCATATACCATTGAACACCCAAAAAACATAAACTACCTGATCTATGCAAGTTTTCTGAGCTATACTAGCATCTGGTTTTCTGTCAGGCGAGTTTAACACCGGAATCATTTTCTCTGATGTCCTGGGACCTCCAAATCCACCGCTTCCATTAACAAAAAAGACATTCTGCTGATAAGCAACTTTGGTTCCGTCTTTCTTATACAAATTCGCTTTTTGGTAAAGTTTTTATTTTTTAATTTTAAATAATTTGTTAATTGAAAAAAACATATTTGAAATTGAAGTTCATTATTCTTTTTACTATTCAACTCTGACAATCCAAAAAGTAAACAAAAACTAAAACGATCCGTCAACAAACG